TAGGCAGACAGTCAACTACCCATCCAAGCCACAGATTCTAGACATGGTGACGCAGTTGTGCGCAGTACCCAGTATTCTGAGGTCGGAGCTCATTAACCGTAAGCACCATGTCGCAAAATCTAGCTCCAACCCGACATTTTCTGCATGAAGAAACCAAACAGAGGAGAAGCTGAGCATGTAGTGCAGTGTTGAAGAGCAAAACCCTCCGATAAAAATCGGCTTCAGTCACCGTTCTAGTGATGGAACTCGCCTACGATGACTCCAAGCATGTCGCCGTTACAATTGGTTGCATGTCATAATCCATTCACATAACAAATGCTCGAAATAACCTAGCAGCGTGATCGCGGCCACCGTGATGAAGTCAAATAGAGGTGAATCTGGCCTTGAAGTGCAGCGTCCATGTGGGTACTACTGCTTGATGACAAGTGGTTGTGCTAACTCAGTTAACAATTTCAAACAGGCCACGTGAGATCAATTATAATATCTGTCCCTCGGCGCATTCTTGCTCATATGTAATTGCAGTTCATGAACCTGCATCAACCGTTACCCACAGATTCCGCCCAGTTGACTTTGAATGGCATAAGACGGGGTTGCCCAGCATCCCCCTTCTTGTTCAATTGCGCTATAGACGAAATCTTGGAGAGTGCTCTGGAGAACTGCGAACCCAGCGGCGTCGAGCTGCTTCCGGAGGATCAACTTCGGGATTTGAAGTATGCAGACAACATCGCAGTAATCTGCGCTTCCTCACAGTCTGTCCAAAATGTGCTGTGTAGGTTGGAGATGTCTGTCTCCCAGTTTGGAATGACCTCACCATCGAAATGCGAGGTATTCCGGCGGGAGTGGCTAGGCGCTGCTCCTGAACTTACGCTTCTAGGTCGTTCATTGGAAGTGGTATACAAGTTCGTTTACCTCGAAAGCTGCCTCATCGCTAGTGGTTTAACGGATGAGGTCTCTTTGCGCGTCTCCAAAGCTCGGGTTGCTTTTGCCAATCTCCGCCATCTCTGGCGCCGAGATGATCTCAGTCTAGCTCTGAAGGGCCGAGTTTACAAGGCCACAGTGAAAGCGGTTCTCATTTATGGCTGCGAGACTTGGCCTGTTCGAGCAAAACATGTTGAGAGGCTGTCTGTTTTTGATCACCGTTGCCTTCGGAGTATTGCTGGTGTACGATAGCAACAGCACACTAGGAATGAAGATATTCGACATATGATTTTCAGATCAGACAGACTTTGCCGGCCACTGAGCAGTATAATTTCTCTGCGCATACTTCAGTGTCTCCGGCAAGTACTCTCCATGCCTACTCATTGCTTACCTAGCCGGACCCTCTTTGGGCACGCAGAAGTCGGCTGAAAGCGAAAGCAAGTTGGCCAACGTATGACTTGGGCCAGGGGCATGAATAAGCTAACGTCAAAGTTGGCTGTGGTCGGGCACTCTCGGCTCCCTGGCTGAAGTGCGAAGGATTCGGAACACACATGGCTGGAAACACTTTCGGATATGGCGAGAAATCGTGCACAATGCCGGGCTTGTTGTGACTCACTATTCCCATGAACATCGGAAGTTTTCCTCTACCTTCGTAGGTTTATTGTATTTTCCATACGTTTTGGCACTATGCCAATGGTAGTAATGGCCGTACTGGATATATATATATATATATATATATATATATATATATGACTGGAGAAGGTGCGCCTAGCCGGTTGTGAGGTCTATTAACAGTGTCAACATTCTGACTGACGTAATAAAACAAACTTGTGAAGTGAGTCAACATTATCTCACTGTGGTAAAGACCGCAGATGATGGGTGAAAACAACTCTCTCTGAACGATAAAAATCAGTAGCATCCAGTTTCTCTGTAACCAATTGGTCCTCCCACCTCATAATCATTGGTTCCGAAGTTTACTATAAATCACAGAAATCAAAGCAAGGATCAACTTACTGTGAAAAGTTGGATTTGGAGAATACGCTGTGTGGTTGGATTGCGACACGCAACCTATATTGAGACCTCGATTCAATTTAAGGTACATCTCGGTCATTCCGATCGCGAGGACCGTATCAGAAATGGAGGTGTTGCTCCTCCAACACAGACACACTACGACCGCGTTTTCTTACTTATTTGACTCATCAGGTGGAGATAGCCTGAGCTGGGTTGAAGCTCAGTTGTGCCAAGGGTTACTCGCGCATCTCATTAGCATGGTGATCAGGATGTCAGCCGTGAACCACTAGGCTCTGATCTCCACCCCAGCTCAAGCTATCTTCACCTGATGAGTCCAATCCAGGACGAAACCATGGTCATGGTGTGTCTATGTTGGGGGGTACAACACCGAAATACTTCCATCAACCTACCATTATTACACACCAGTTGTCAGTAGCCTAAATTAATCCAGTTCGCTGCACACAGCAACACGCAAACGTTTTTTGATTCAAGCTGCGTCGTTCTCCACATGTTTCCGGGTAGCCGTTTCAAAAGAAAGATACATTTTTCACCGCGAACTGATCTTTACAACGTGCTAGTGCGCACAAGGTTGTGTTCGATTGGATTGCGCTTCTCTGTCATTTCAAAAAAGTTTCGTTCTCTCATCAAATAAAACAAGATTCTGGGTACGTCCTTAAATCACGCTCGCAACCTATGTAAATGAATGCCATGGTATGATCAAACTGAGATGTTTCTATTTCGATGTACGCTTGTCACTGGGACTTTTTGAGAGTCACAATCAACTCATGTCAAGCATTTGGATCAAACACTGACTTCATCTATGCATAGATCTTTATTTCACAGACACACCATCTTGTGTAGCAGTGCAAGCTGAGTAACATAAACATTTCACATAGAGATGTATGTTGACAGGCAATCGACATATATGACATGAAACGACCACGTGGTACTGCTCCCGTATTTTAATAGGCGTAAACTGTAACTGGCGAAATTAGGTCCTGCCGGTGTACGGGGATCAGGATCAGTGAACCCCACAATCAAGCGTCCATTCCCTGAGATGCGCTGGAGGGCTGTACATATGTGATGCAAGTTGTTTTTATCCAACCAAAGCTGCTCCATGGGGATTCATCACGCGAAAATCTGTTTCAGGGTCACCGAATATCCAGAGAAGGTTGGCGACTTTCATCCCTTTGGGAAGCATCGGCCGTGAACATTCCATTCTACCCGGAAGTGGTAGTGGTCCGCGGTGCCCCTTCGGCGACACAGTTTATCACTATTAAACCGAAGAAGAGTTCAATGGTTACTGTGCCAAAAAAAGTCAGTTGTAGTTTGGAGCTGCTCATCCTTCACCGTCGAAAATATTATCAAAGGGCCAGAGATGTTCTTAAGGCCACTGGACACGGTGTCTCATAGTAATTCACTGTAACCATGTCAGGCTACCCTGTGGGTTCATAGGTATGTGATGAATATCCATCAGAACATAGGAATGACGTCTATAGCTTGGAGTATGAATGAATAGTCGCTCGGATCTGGCAGGGAGTTACGTGACTCCGGGGATCAGGGCTAGATAACCGCACTGAGGATGTTGCCTAGCCTGGCAAGGAAACGCCTGCAACAGAGAAATCCAACGCGGAGAACAGGACAAATCACCCGCAGTAATGATAGCGTTCAATGAGCTTGCCTAACTCTTTATGGTACACTTTGTAGCCACAGTCAGTTCAACTTTCTGATGTGTGATATAGCTTCCTTTTAGGGCATCTGATAGTTTTATAGAAACGCAGATGATTGGGAGTTGAAGTGTGTTAGTGTGCATAAAATCTCCTGCGTTTCTGATTATTTATGTGCAGTTATATGCCATTTAACAGATATTTAGTTGAGGCATCGCACGGTTGGTAAGTGCTAAATTCCGACCGTTCTGGTGTGGAGGTAAATATACCTACAAACCTCGCTTTGAAGTCACATCGTCTATAAACTCAGCTTTTGAGTTTGCTTCCTTTTATATGCAAAACTAATCCGTCTATTACAGACACCACACCCTAAACGAGGTGTCCAGTATACAGTATACTCGTTATCTGCCTCCTTTAACCCAGCCTCGACAGCAAGCGCCTTCAGACCAACGTGCAAAATAAGCTCCTCAATACTGCGCATAAGGCATGTCACCTTTTCTGTTGCGACCGTGTTTTCTTCGCTTTCCTTTTGATTAGAACACATCAGGCGATGCGTATATCTCCAGCGTCCTATTGCAATGGTCGGTAAAAATAACGTATATTTTGTGTCGAGCCCAAAGGGGCCATATAAATTCTGTAGTCCGCTTGCAATTACTCCTATTTATAGACAAACCAATAGGTAGTATTAGTAATGTCTATTGACATCTGCATCATTCACTGAGCTTGGTAGATTGATTGCATATGATTCGTTACCATTGAGGTGACATCATCAGTGCGGTGATGTCACCTGGCTTAGTGACGAAACCTATGTAACCAACTTAGTAAGCTCGGTGAGCCAATTAACAAGTTGTTACTTAACATTGGCTAACAGCATTTCAAATTATTTATACGGCTGTCTCTTGAAACATGCACATCTTGCTAAACATGATGCGCACTAGTGATTGGCTCTCATGGACTTAATATAGGTGCGCTTTGAGGGGAAACATGGCTTCAAGGCATTATTCGCCCCAGTCGCCCAATTTGTTTTAGTAACAACTACATAAGATAGGCGTTGAGCAAGCGCTCGCCGACTAACGCACCTAATTTTTACCCATCCGGATGACTGTATTCTGCATTTATCACGCACCATTAGACTATTTAAGGCAAGGAGATCTACCAGAGAGTGCAGCTGTGGCTCAACTGGGCTGGTAATTCGAATGACCTTGTACAATGCCGTGCACATGCTTTTCTAAGCCGTTACTTATGTGGCGTCACGACCATTCAGTCGTTTCGATGAGGCATGGCTAGTTGTCATCTGGCTAGCTAGGCAACGGCGTGTCTGCAGTAGAACACTGCAGTGCGGACTGACACATACTGTTAACCAATCAAACATGCATGAGCTAGCTACACTGCATAAGCAGGAAATAGAGTCCTGCGCTTTGGTGACAGAAAGCTCCGATCGGACGGACCACGGCAAGTGTCCATCGTGTATCTCAGTGAGCGATTGTGGATAGCGCCACTGTGATTTTTAAACCAACGTCGCGCACTTAAGGTTTTTGTATTCCTGCATTTGTACGCGGACGGCGAATTATGGGCCAAAGCTTGTCGTGCGTGTCCAAAAAGCAAAAGGTACGTTCATTATGAAGCTGCACTGCGAACAACTTGCAAATCATGTGTTACTGATATGTGTATATATGAATTACAAATGAACGTCATATACACCATCCAGGGATTCTTGTATAAATCCGTTCTTTTATGTCCATACTCAGTGAAACTTAGTTCACGTGGAACGGAACTAACCACACTAGGCAGCTTGACCCCAAGTGATTGAGTGACATCTTAATATGCGTCGGCCTTGTCAGCTGTAAGTCGTCTAACAGCATTCGTGTGATGCAATGAAGTAACGCAAAGACGAAATTGAACGCAGACTGGAAATCGCTGACTGACGCTACGGGCAATTAACCAGATCCAGCTTCATGATTCATCTGACTGCAAACTCGCACTTGTCATTGACGAACGTCGGACTTGTTGGAAACATTTCTTACGTCATGTATGGCGAAATATGGAGCCAAGCAGTTCCGATCGAACTCCTGCCAACTAACCTCTCTCTGGTTACCAAAAGGTTTTCAAACGGTACGCGATATGCCTATAAGCTTAAAGTAGTCTCTGTTGGCTAGGTCAGAGAGGTCTAATTAACCTCGTTGAGATGCTTCATGAATACTGTTGTTATGACGTGGGCATTAGGGAAAGCAATTACTATGAAGCTTGGATGGGCTAAATGGTCCGCCCTCAGGTATGACAAAGTAAGTACTGTTGCGTGTGCCCTAGGCTAAATACCTACTGGATCACGTCTGTTTCCAATGAACCTCGGTTTTAAGCATCCACCATGCAACTGGATTGTGACATATTACCTCGTTTCAGATTCATGTACATGTTTCTTTAGATTTCGGAGACCTCGATTAAAATGCCATACGTGAAGCAAAGACGTCTTTGTAGCTACCCATTCAACTCATCGCTCCTTACAATCCGTTCGTTCTTGTTTAGTCTGCTCAACCTCCGATTAGAATTAGTGATGTTTCGGGAACCGACCTAACATCATGTGCATTAGGTTGTCCGATTATGTTCCGTATATTACCCTGTATAAGCCGATCCGTATATAAGCCGACAGTATGACTTGACAACGTCAAATATGTCCGAAATCCTAAGTCCGTATTTTAGGCGACCCCAAAAAAATCAGCAAACAGTGAAACAAAATTGTTTCTCAAGATTTTGACTTCATCACTAGCTGCTCTCACTTGAGTGTGCTCAAGCGAAACCTGCTCTACTATTGGTCAGTTCCAGTGACCTAATGTGTTATGATCGCAGTTAATGGGGTATAGAGCCGTCAGAACAACGATTTTAACCCCACTGAACAATGTATGGATCAGATGTCAAGTCACACGAAACAGATAAGACAGCCAACAATTTGGGGTAAGGTGAAAGGGTATGTCAGACACCGCCTCGCATAGCCGAGGACCTCATGCCTTTGCATCGCAGTGGAGCAGTGGGTGAGAGGTAAATCCAACATAAGTGGTGTGGGACAACGTCGCACTTCTAATGCACCGGATTGACTAGCATAGCATAATGTATAAGCGCTGGGATTCATTAACAAAAATAGCTCTAACGCGACGTCATGCAATCCAGCTGCGAGGGAATGTGACTACATTTTGTTCGATCTTCCAAAGCCTTGAAAAGTGAAAAAATGTCTGGACAGAATCGATCTGCATATGCTGCTGGCTTTAAATTGAAAGTTCTCACGTTTGGCGAGCAATCTAATAATTGTATGGCTGTACACCATTTCACGGTGAATGTAAAGCAAGTGAGAGAATGGCGAAAGGAAAAGTCAGAATTGTCACTAATAGCTGTAGGCAAGAGAGCAGCGCGCTGTAGAAAAACCGTTTTCTGCCCTAGAGGAAAAGTTAGCGCAGTGGATTATGGAGTCAGGACACATTGGGTTAATTGTTACCCATACGAACATTCGGATTGGGGGCTGACAATGTTAAAATGTCCGGAATTCCAGTCATCAAAACCGGTGCATTTTGTTGCTTCCTCCGGATGGTGCAATCGGTTTATGAACCGATTCTACATGTGTCTACGGACCAGCACAAAATTAGCCCCGAAACTGCCGAAGGAATTGGACAGCAGAGTTGAAGCTTTTCAAACGTGCGTGATTCAACTGAGAAAACATTACTACTTTGTATCGTCCCAAATAAGAAATATGTACGAAATGCCCGTGCGCTTTGCTATGCCTTCAAATCGCACGGTGGAGCAGAAAGGTACTAACGCAGTGTTTGTAAAGACGAGGAAACGCAAGAAGACACGGTTCACAGTTGTTTAAGGGTGTATGGCAGATGGTTCCCGTCTATCACCTTTCATTATTTTTAAACGTAAGACCCTGTCTGAAGGAGCGAAGTTCCCAAGAGGCGTGTTTGTGTGGGTTCACGCGAAAGGATGTATGGACGGAAATAGCACTATAGAGTGGCAGAAGACAGTTTACGGAAAGCGAAGCGGTGCTCTTTTAATGAAACCATCTATGCTGGTTTGGGATTCCTTTAGAGCACCCCGAACTGAGAAATTGAAGAAACGATACCCTGAACTGAAGTCGTCCGTAACTTTAATTCCCGGTGGACTTACATCAATCTTGCAGCCACTGGATGTCTGTCTCAATAAGCCCTTTAAAGATAGGCTTCCAGCCAGGTGGATCGAATGGATGGCACAGACTGATTTTAGCGTTGACGGAGGGTGGCAATGTGAAAAAGGTTGGCACTGTTACAATTGCAAGGTGGGTGAAATAAGCATGGCTGGATATTCCAACAGAAATTATCGTACGACCAATCAAGATGTGATGCGTCAGTAATGCTATGGATGGAAATGCGGACGATGTCATTTTTAATGAACACGACAATGACGAGAGTAGTGAAGTTGAGGACGACTATATTTACCCTGAGTTACCAAGGACAGACGACCAGTATCAGAAACTGTTTGTAGATTCTGACACGGATTATAGTTTCGAAGGATTCAAATAATGTTAATACCATTGTGCAGCGTTTCTATATGTGAGCCTATACAAGCTACCGGTACGTGCTGTTCTGCTATGTCATTTTCCAATGTTATTGCGTGTGCTGATGTTCGATTCTATATAATCAGTAAGCTTCTGTTACTGCCCTCCGTCGTAAAAGTCAACTGTGCAATATACCGATAATTTTCGACACAGACATAATGTGTCTACCTATTGGCACTTCCAGTTCCCGCCTGGGATACCGTCTGTCACAAGCGAGTGGTGCTAAGTCGAGATAGGAGTATAGGTGCGAAGTGAATTTCTAAGTGGATTTTGTTTGTTCTTTTTTTAAATTAAGCATAACCTTTGTATAAACCGACCCTCCAATACAGACATGGAAAATTGTCCAAAATTTATCGGCTTATACATGGTAATATACGGTATATATATGGCAGTCTGAGAACAGACATAGAGGGGTCAGAAACCATGGAAATCAAAAGATACAGTTGTTGTAGAGAAAGACGAACACAGCACAGAGAAGCGTATGGTTCCATTAGAGAGCACGAAACTGCCCGGTTGCTCAAGCCGAGGTGGGTAATTGTCTTACGGGACACCACCCCTAACCTTGGGCTGAATACTCTGCTCCCAAAGCAGCTGACCGAAGTCAGGGAATCGCACCCACTGGTGGTCAGTGGCTGATTGGTCAGTCCACACTCCTTTCGTTTGGTCGGTTACCAGGAGTCCGACCACCAATTCAGAAAGAAAGTGCTGGGATACCATCTTCGACCACAGTGAAGCAAGAGCAGTGACTTTATTTAGTGGGAAGCCACATCAGGTAAGTCACTGTGTGGTTAAACAGATACAGGTGGGTTTTTATAGGGAGAACTCTTACCAGACGAAAATCCTCTACGTTCTGGAACATTGCTGCTAAACAGGATATGCCTGAACCACTCAGCCCATACCACAAAGAGGTTGTAAGGCGAGCAATCCATATATATATATATATATATATATATATATATATATATATATATATATATATACGGGGGGTATGTATGTGTCAGCGGCATCCGGTTCCGGATTCGCCTGCCACTGCGGCCTCCACAGAGACCACAGGTGTCTTGCGCTGCGTGGCACACGGCTTCGACCACATACACCATATCCAGTGTAAACCCGAAGCAATAAGCCCGGGAGTTATATAGATGTCGGCCAAGTTTCATCAAAGCAGCCGGCCCACACTCCCACATCATGCACAGCATCAACACCCCTGTCTGTATAATTTGGAAAGCATGCGTACCAGACCTACACGAGGCGTTGGCTGGGCCGTAGTCCTCTCCACACTGGATGCATGGAACCACTCTTCGAGCCTAGCACGTGCACGAAGATTGTGCACTCTGTCCCCTCCCGCTGGAAACGATGCACATTCTCATGAAGCCAGCAATCGAGGTGGGGCGTGTCAGAGAAGTAGGTACCTTGTCAACATCCACATCAAGCTCAGGCACACCGGAGATGCCAAACGACCGACATATAATTTGGAAGATAAACGCGCAAATGGACACCAAATATGGTGCAGAATAACGGTGTTAAGCAGATAAAATGAAGTGGAATGCTGTATATATATATATATATATATATATATGTCTGCTTACAGATAATGTGATAGCAGAACTATGGCTGAAAAAAGGAAACAGCGAATTACAGCAGCTAAAGAAAGTACCGTTTTTAGGTTTATGCACGTCATTTTCATTTTCATGTTTTGTGGCATTTTGTGTTCGATTAGACATTAACTAATAGATCATACGGCCGAACAATATTGGCATCACTGATGTCTGTTGTGGGCCACAACATCCAACTTTTCCAACCATTGGAGGTCAGTGTCGCGTGGCGACCAGCCTGGAAAGTGGGCCGGTCCGACTACCACGAAGTTTGAGGTTGCCTTCTTCCTACTCCATCTCCAAGTCATTGCTTATCCACAGTGGCACTTTTTTCATTTGCTTCCGGGAAGCGCAAATAATGCTCGACGGAGTAGGGGATAGGTTCGATTGCCGCCAAGCCAACTCATATGGTATCGAAGAAAAACGCTTTGCAGGCA